CATTAAGGGACCCATGCCCTTTCCAATTTCATCACTAAACATTGCTATGTTATCATTTTTGTACAATTTGTTTGTTTGTAAATGGGAGTCCTTGAATTCAGGTACAAAAGTTCTGATAGGTTGTGGTGGCAGCGAGGAAGGAGCATGTGCTGTCCTGGGGCTGTCTATAGAATACACTGAATCATTACATTTACAGGAGTTAACCAGCCTGCCAATAGCCAGCACCTGCTCCCTGCTCTGCTTTTGGGAAATTTCATATTTATAGGTAATATTACTAAGTTGTTCTTTAAGACGGTCAATCTCACTTTGTAATTCTCTTGTATCTTTAATGTATTGACTCGACATGTTGTCTAGTTCTAATGAGTACATAGACACCTGATCAATCAGATGAAGTCTCTGCCTATTTAGTGACATACTATTAATAAAAAATTTTTGTTTGTGAATCATTTTTTTTGTTTTGGTAATTATTTTTTTAACTTTAATGTATTTTTTCAATTTTCTCAAGCTGCATTTTACAATTTTGTTAGGTTTATAAGTACAACTACTAGTATCATCGTCAGCTGTGAGATCTATTACCATAGATGGATGGAGACTGTCAACTACAGCCCGATCCAACCCCGGGGCAACCAACTCCTCGAACAAACTTTGGTTAGAAGCTACAAGGCGGTAGTGCTTATGAGTGTCGATTTTTGATATTTTTTCCTCTGCTTTCTGTAGTTGGCATTCTAGCTTCCTAATCCTTTTCAGTGCCTGCTCATACTCATCCCTACATGTATCAAAGCTGTCCACAAGGAGTTGGAGCTTGTTCCGGGCATCAACAGAAACTGTATACCGACCATGCAACAGAGACATTTCTTTTTTAAGTTTCTCATTCTCGTTTAATGTCTCAAGGACTTCCCTTTCATTGTCATCTCTTTCCCCAATGAGTTGATCACACCTCTCCTTAGTTGCCTTTAATTCGCTTAAAGTCAGTTGAAGCTTGGACTCCAATTGACGAGCCAAGGCATTACGAGTCTGAACCATGGTGTAAGGCTTTGTGAAAAGGCAAACTATTGTTAAATTATCACCAAGGAGAGTTGATATCACACAGTGGAGGGTAAGTTGTGTAGTGTCAATATAAGCGTCTTAAGAATTAACTACACTTTTACCGAAATCGTATTAAAGAGAATAATAAATAAATCAAATAGCGATACCTGTAAAGCGATGACAATAAATTCCAGGCACAATTTTCAACTCTTTTTTAATGTTATTCGTAACTTGCCGGTACCCCAACCGTCACTTACAAATTTGTTTATTTACTAAAATAACATTTATGAACTATTCTTATATAATTTGTGCAAGTAGCATTTATTTGCTTAGTGAGAAATTGGTATTTAAATGATATTTTAAACAGAATATAATATTTAAAACAAAAAAATAAACGGGAGCAATTCAGAACAGCTGTTTACCGCGGGGTTGCCACAGAGAAAAAAAACCCAGCCCAGTCGTACCCTATGTTCCACAAGAGGGGTCCAAGAACAGACCCCTGTGGAACACCGCACGACATGGGCCGACACCTCAGATTACCTTCTCGGTCCTCGTACACGACGGTACGCTCCTCTAAATAGTCTGCCACTAGCCGCCTCAGGTACTTTGGCACCCCATGATAGTGGAGTGCTTCCCTGATGCAGCTGAATGGCAGACTATTGAATGCGTTGGCGATGTCTAATGACACCGCCAACAGCACGCCGCCACAGCTCACGGCCTCTTCGGTCACGGCCCTCAGGCGCAACACGGCGTCGACTGTCGAACGCCCCGCCCGAAAACCAAATTGGGCGTCCGACAGATCGGGGCCCACCTCGCAGAGGTGCCGGACGATGCGGGCAGAAAGAACCCTCTCAAACAATTTGCCCGCCTCGTCCAGCAGCACGATGGGCCTATAGGCCGCGACCGAATCGGCAGGCCGTCCCGGCTTCCTCAATAGGACCAGCTTCCCGCTCTTCCAGCACTCAGGGAAGCGTCCCGACGCCAAGCTAGCGTCGAACACCTCCCCGAGGCGGTCTGCCATGTGGTTGAGGGCCAGGGCCAGCACTCGGGCCGGTACCCCGTCAGGCCCAGGGGCGGTGTTCTTGGAACGGATCCGTAGAACAGCCGCCCCTACCTCCGAATCCCGGACGGGCGGAACATTATCCTCCCCGTGCTCCCCGTCGTTTCCGGCCAGGGAGGCCTTCGACGGGGGAGTGTGTTCCGCTCGTCGTGGGAAAAGGCCCTCAACCACTTCTCGCAGGAAGCTGGGCTGGAGAGTCTCCGTAAGGGGGGGGCCCGACGCGCGGAGCTTTTGTCGCACCGCGCGGTAAGGGCGACCCCAGGGGTCACGATTAAGACCCTCCAGCATCTCCTGTCTTTTTTCTTCTTTGGCGCGGCTAATGGCCAGCTTCAGAGTTTTCCGCGCCTGTCGGTACTCCTCATGAAGCCGGTCCTCCTCACCGTCTCCACGGTGACGCCGCCGACTGCGCGTGTAGGACCTCCGGGCACGTGTACAGGCCGCACGGAGGTCCGCCAGCTCCTGGGACCACCAGTAGACCTCCTTCCTTGGAGGCCGACGACCTCGAATGCGGGGCATGGCCGCATCGCATACATGCGTAATCGCATCGCGAAAGCGACCAGCCCCCACGTCGACCTCCTCAGTCGGAGCCTGAGGAGACAGCCACGAGTGAATTATGGCTGCCTCCTCTAGTAGGTCCCGGTTCAGTCTGGCAAACCCTATACCAACCCGTCTGGTCAGCGTGGTATAGTAGGCCAAAACCTCCTTTCTAAGGAGAGGCTTATGTCCAGCAGTGGACTATTAAAGGCTGTTGATGATGATGATGAACCAATATCTGTCAATAAAATATTTTAAGAACAATTGAAATTTAGCACCTCACCCATTTTTACGATGAAAAGATTTTATTTTTGAAGTTTTTCTACTTTTGAGTTTATCAGTATAGTTTACAAAAGCGTGTTTTTAATTTTTTTTAAACTACATATAATTTATTATCGTGTTGCTTACTAAATTGTAGGTTAGTGCTAACATTCTTTAAGAGCTTAACACAGTCTTTAAATCTCTTTATTTATAAATTCACCATGTGCGCCACTTCATCTGCGTCCCTCAAAAGGATTTATTTTTTTACAACATTTTTTATTGATTCTTGGCTCCTATTGGTCGTAGCGTGATGCGCTGTAACCTTCCTCGATAAAAAGGCTATCCAACACTAAAAGATTTTTTCAACAGCAATTGGTAGTCTTCGAGATTAGCGCATTCAACCAACTAAGCAAACAAACTCTACCTACAGCTTAATATTAGTATAGATGAGCCATACCTCAAGGCAGTGTTTTGGGGCCATTGTTATTTTTAGTTTACAGTAATGACATTCCAACAGTTACGACTAACTCTATGACTCGATGACAGTACTATACTTTTTGAAAAATACAAAATAAATGACATTCTTGACAAAATTAATCAGACATTAGAAAATACAATTAACTGGCTAATGAGTAATAATTTAATAATCAATCTCAATAAAACCAAATCAACAAAAAAAAATCAAATCAAATCAAACCAAATCAATCAACATTTTAGGCATAGGCAATCACCACAAAAAATAAATATGTATCAAATATAAAGAGCAAGTAATAGAAGAGGTACAGAGCACGAAAAATGAAAAATGCTATTCTAGTTGGTAAAACTTATTATTCGGTAAAAGAATACATGGAAGATAATATGTAGAATGATGTAAATAATGCACTACTTACATCTTCCTTTGACATAATGTACATCAGTACAGAAATTTTGACATATTAGTTTGTATTTATTATTATTTGTTTATTTTGTATAATTTAACTAACTAACTGTATTATTATTTAGAACAATGACACTACTGGATATTATTTTGTTTTAATTAATGGCTATTATTTAATTATTGTTAATTTTTGCATGCTGTGACATTCGGCTTAATATGGTGAAACTAGCTGTATCTTTTCCACCTGTTTTTCGTTTTGTATAACCCATATTATCGCAAATAAATTGAATTGAATTATAAAATTTTTTTAATGATACTAGCAACAAGGGACATATTGCTAGTATTTTTGATTACCCCCTCAAAGCCAAATGCCATGTAATATAATAATAAATGTAATCGTGAATCTCATGTAAGTTGAAAAAGAAATAAATATTTTGTTTTATCTCACGAGATTGTCGATAAGCGGAATGTCGATTCAGTGATCATTGTTCCGATATTCGTATCTGCTCACGGATTGATAGCCAAGAGCCTCGACCAAAACCTTCAAAGGCTGACGTTAGACGGTTGGATCAAGGGACTGATGCAGAAGGCAGTCCTCCTTGTCACTGCCCGTATAGTGAGGAGGTTCCTATCTTTGGAGCCTCTAACCACCGGTGTCTTGGTCCCTGTACCCGATGTCGGTGGTCTACAATTATTTGTATGTTTTTTAATGTATTTTTTATTTATTTTTATAAAGTATATGTTTAAAAATATAATAAATATGTATATAAAATAAATAAAGAGAATAATAATAATATTTATTTAGATAAAGAGTACAATAATTTACAATAAATGGTTCTCGTAAGTGTGTGATTCGAAATTGGAATCTGCACCATACCATTCATGTCTTAGCTACTATGCTGCTGGTTTAGTTATATCTTCAAGCCAGTTTTCGAGCCTCGTTGTTCTTTGATGCGTATATCATTAGGTAAAAAAAGATTGTAGTAGGCCAACTTCTGCAAAAACTCGCGTTGGACAACTGGATTAAAAGATGGTACTTTCGACAATATTTTTCTTACGTTCTTTGTTAAATAAACTGGGAGTGTCTAGTTAAATAAAATAAAAATAAATACATAATTTAGGGACGCTCTAATGTGTACTTTAATTTTTAGGTCTCATCTGATGGTTATTCAACTTTTTGGAAGGAACATCTTTCAGAAGATAACTCTTGTTAGGTTGTATACGTCTTCTGTGATTCCCAAAATGTCTGCCAGAGACAATGGCGTGCCTTTGAAAAAAGTAACATCAGCTTTAGAGGATTTTGCTCCACAGCAGTTGTCAGAGAAATGGGACAATACTGGTCTGTTAGTGGAACCATACACCGCCAGGTAGAATTATAAATAATAGTAACTAAGATTATTCTAACAAGCAACAAACTTCTATGTATGTATTGTATGTATTATTCATTAAACAATATTGATTGGGCAAGTTGTGCAAGTTAAAGAAGTTGTTGAAACACAGTTCCGCTATACAGCTTATTCGTGGTTTTTTCATAATGTTGGCAGGCATTCTTTAGCAACTTATAAAATTATGTTGTATATACCTCCGAGGGCAATGACCCTGATACTAATAGAAAAAAATATTTATTTCAGAAATATTACAAAAGTTTTACTAACAAATGATCTGACCGAAGATGTTGCTCTCGAAGCCTACAATCAAGGATGCGAAATGATTGTTTCCTACCATCCTCCAATATTTGCTCCATTAAAATCCGTTGTTCAGAGGTACCAAATATAAATACATAACTATACATATATAATCCCATATTCGTTTCTTAGGTTTTTTTCTTCTTTCGCAGTGCTTGGAAGGAACGCATAATATCATTTCTGCTTGAGAAACGAATTTCTCTTTATTCTCCTCATACAAGTTGGGATAGTGTTAACGGCGGTGTCAATGACTGGCTTGCGTCTGCGTTCCCTGTTGCAGAATCCAATCCTATATTGCCAGGAGTCGACCCACAAGTTGGAGCTGGAAGGTCAATAACATCTCTGTTTATCTGTAATATTGGTAAAACTACATTCCTACATTTCCTAAAATCAATTTTTAACTGACGAAGTTATACCTCAGGATGCTAATAGTTAAGGTAGATAAAGGTACCTGACTGCCTCGGTGGTGCAGTGCTAGCGTATGCGACTGCTGTGCTGAACTCTCGGCTTCAATTCCCGAGTCCGACCAAATGTTTTTAAGATCTGCAAATGTTTGTTTCGGAGTTTGGGTGTTTTCCATATATAATATGTATGTATTTACAAAAAAAGTATGTAAGTATTCTATCAGTCACTCTAACTTTCATAGTACAAGCTCTGCTTAGTTTGAAACTAGATGGCGTTGTGTGTCAGATGTCCGAAATATCATTATACCATTAGGTAATATTTTATGAATATCACGGTATGTTCTCCGCTTCCGTATCCGGCCTATCTTAAATAGATCTTTTACTTTCAACAATTTTTAATAGTCCACTGCTGGACATAGGCCTCTCCTTAGAAAGGAGGGTTTGGCCTATATATAGTCCGCTCCGCTTAGTTACTTTTAATTCAATTGAACAGAGGTTCTTTACTATGTTACTTTTTTAAGAATGGATGGCTTTTATATATATTTGTAATAATATAATATAATAATATTCTACCACATACACACAACGCCATCTAGTCCCAAACTAAGCAGAGCTGGTACTATGGGTACTAGACAACTGATATAAATGCATATATACTTTTTTTTTGTAAATACATACATATTATACATAGAAACACCCAGACCAAATCAAACATCAAATGTTCATGCACACAAATGTTTGACTTGAGCGGGAATCGAATCCGCGACCTTTGGAATAGCAGTCCGTTACATAAACCACTACGCCATCCGGTCTTAATTAATGTAAGCAATGTTAAATTGACGCATTGTTCTATGGTTACAAAAAGACGTGTTACTATTGAGAGTGAATCGCAATGAATTAAATATTTAAAAGTACGAGAGATCGCCTTATTGACGAATTTCGACCATAATTAATATTTTGATTATTTCATGCCCTTTCTCTCATAGCTGGCGTCTCTTTGGCCATGTTCTAGTTTACAGCGACAGCGCGCTGAGAGCATCAGTAAAGTCAATGCTCCACAGAATAATGCGATATTTCTATGGAGCCATCGCACTACACTACTTAATGAAATAATTGAATTTATTCTTATAGGTCGCTGCAATTAAAATCAAGTATCACCTTATCGGACGCAGTTTCAAAAGTCAAAATTCTCACTGGATTAAATCACGTGCGGTTTGCTATAGGAAAAGGAAAGAAAATGATGTCCGAAATAAAAATAGTGGCACTATGCGCTGGTTCTGGTAGTTCTGTTTTAAAAGGAGTCGCCGCTGATCTCTATTTAACAGGTAAAATTATTTAAACCAATATAATAAAGTTATTTAATATTACTTAAGTTATAGCGCGTTCTAAGAAACCAAACTTCAACAGTTTTCTTTCGGTTGAATTCGCTATATATGTAAAACAACCGATTTCAAACGTTTTAAATAAAATTTTGCCGTTTTAAACCCTAAATAAATCGTTTTAAACGGTTGAAAACTCGCCTACAAAAATTAAAGAACTGTGTTTTACACTGCATTTTTGGTCACCTGACGTCATGTTTCGTTTTATTTAGTTTATAGAAAATCAATAGAAAGTACCTACCTACATTACCTACTACACGAAAACTTAAGTATGTAGGTATACCTACCTATACTTATTTATTATATGTTATATTACACTTACTAGATTAGAAGACATCATTAACACAAGCCGTCCATTTTACTTGCGCATGATAGAGACTAGAGTTGTGTAGCTCCTGAGTGAGTGATATAAAAGATATATATCATTCACGACGATAAAATGTATCACTCACTCACACTTGCGCCGAATATATCAGTAACTCAGTACTAGCTCACTAGATCACTAGCTCAACGACGCCGATCTTTGTTTCATGAGCGAGTGAGACTAAAGATAGATAAATGAGTGAGATAGATGATGGTTGAGTTGACGCAAGTTTTTTTATGCAAAATGTACATTATTTCTATAGGATCAAAGTTTAATATTACTTTAATACTACTTTAATATTACTACTACTACTTAGAATTAAGCCAAGTACAAGGAAAATCAAATTATGTATGATTTCTATTTTACAACCTAAAAAAAAGTACAAGAAATAATTTCTTATTTTTAATAATTATATAAAAGGGTGTTAATAATTATGAAATGTTATCAAAATGAATAAAATTGTATTTAAAAAAAATAGGTTAAAAATGTAGTTTCAAAAACTGAATTTAGGTTAATATGAAAATAAAGAAAGGTTTGTATGGCGAGAGAGGCTTAAAGTGAGTGATATACGAGTATACTGAGCTAAACGATCTAGATTAAGAAATGAATTAATTGAGAGACCAATCAATTGAATCGGATCAATGAGCTAGTGAGCTAAACGAGTTAGTGAGCTAAATGAGCCAGTGAGCTAGATGAGTGATATATATCTTTTGAGCGAAATGATATATATCAATCTTTTCAGCTCAGTGATACATTTTGCGCATCACTAATAGAGACAACGTTATGTCTTCAAGGCCGTCTCACCGATGCCAAATTGATTATTTATATCATTTGAAAACAATGAAAAAATGTTTATTTACCAACCCAGGAAAACATAATCATCAACACCAACCGTTTAAAATCGAACAAATGGTTTATTTCGGTTTTAGACGTTTTAAACGGATTGGTTTAATTGGTATTAAACCGGCCTTACATATCGTCATAGTCGTAGAATAGTGTCTTATCTGACATTTTTTTTTTTGTATTTTTGGCCTCGTAACAAGACCTTTAAGCCAAGTCTTAATTTTTGATCTGACATTTATTGAACTTCACAGGACAGCCATTTCAAATAATTATGTTTTTTTTTTCATTTTACTTTGAGAGCCTATCAAACCTAACACTGAAAATTTAAAATCTAAAATACATATAATTATTTCTTAAATGTAGTAATAATATTTAGGCGATGTAATATACAAATATGGTAAAAACTGAATTTCATATTTTTTTCAAAACCGACATTATTCTACGATCATGACAGTGAATCGCAGGTCTACACTGCCATTCGACATTTTTTTTTAAATTAAGTTCATATGGCAGCCTAATTTAAAAAAAACGCTATATCTGGGTAACTATTTGTTTAGCATCATGATATAACCCAAAGAAGTAGACCAGTAGCGATAAATGTGGGTAGAACTGCGGAGAAAGATTAATTAGTTCGATAAATTTTCTTAAAAATAATAGTTCGATTTTGTTGAAAATATTGATTAAGGCCAAAATTATTTTTCTTTGGCCAAAATTCAGGCATTTTAACGTTAAATTTCATAATAATAAAATGCATTGGAACAAGATTTGATTTTGTCCTTCGTGTAAACGTCTACGTGAGTAGACTATATTATGAGAGAATTGTTTCTATTTTTCTGTGTTTTGATTTATGTTACTCTTGTTCTGCTGATAATGATAAAATACCCTTTTTATTTGACAGGTGAAATGCTCCACCATGACGTATTAGACGCAGCACAAAGAGGAATAAGCGTCATTCTAACAAATCACTCTGATTCAGAAAGAGGATTCCTAACGGTGTTTTCAACCAATCTAGCGAGTAAACTAAATAATGAAGTGGAGGTTATTGTAAGTAAAGTCGACAGAGATCCTCTTGTGACATTGTGAACCATGTAGTTTTCTATAATAAAAATACAAAGCAATGAGTTCTTAAACTGTGTTTATTAATTCATACTTACAAAACTGTTACATTTGAAGTTAGACTGTATTAAATAAAATAGTATTAAAGTTTTGTTAAATAACCGTATGTGAGATCATCGTTACCTTATTCTACCTACCGCATGACAGGAAAACATACCTATGCATAAATTGCATTCACATAATTTTGCATAAATTTTGTGTTTAGACTAGCGAAAGTTCCTAACTACAACACTTGGCAAGATCGACGTATATGAACTTTAGTCTTCCATTTCCTATCTGCGTATTTCAGTTCCTTTGGATCCCTCTGATGATCTTCCAACTGCACTGAAAGATGTTCATTCTTTAATGACGTCATTATTTTATAACTTGTTACATTTGATTAGAGCATGCACACGACTTACTTACGCAAGGCTAGTTTGTCTACAGTTTTAGTTTTTAATGCATCGTCTTTGTGATTTTCTTTTAACATCTCTTTAGACGTCTTCTTTCGTCTAGGTATCCCAAGCCCTGTTTGTATTTTACATATGGAAGAAACAGTGCCCTTTTTATCGTCGTAATTAATAACGTATTCTCGATGTTTATTACTTCTGTGGTGGTGCTTTAAGCCAAATTCCTCTTCTCGTTCATTGCTCTTCATTTGTGACGAATACCGTTCTGTAGCATCTGAATCTAATTTAAGAGATGGTTTTATATTTTCATGTTCTTTTTTATCTTCAAATGTATTTCTTTTTCGATGGCTACTTGAGTCTCTGTGCATGATTTGACCGTGATTCGATTCTCTTGATTTATCGGGAGTAGTATTTTGCAATATTCGACTATATCGTTCACTTTTATTATTTTCTTCACTTTTGTAATTATTTTCCCGGCCTTTCACGTTTTTAGTATTCCCCAGGTCGTCCTTTAACTTTTTCAGGGTATCATTATATTGCGATTTACGATTCCTTTCACTTCGTAACGCCTTTTCTTCCTTTTTCAGTGAGCTAGAAACAGTATCTTTATGCATTGAACGCTTTATCCGTGAACTACTATCTGTCCCAGAGTCTGACCGATGCTGAGATTTGTAAGTAATAGACTGAACTGTATTGTTTTCATTTTTGTTTTTAATAGGACTTGTTCTTTGGGTTACTGACGTTTTGTTATGTTTTTGGATTGGGGGTGGGCTTGATTTTACTGTATTCATATTTAAATTAGCGTAAATTGGAATGTCTTTATTTAATATTTTACTGTAGGCTATGGGTAATTCCATTGAATTATCTTCTTTAAGCTTGTCCTTAGTGCAGCTGTAAGTAAAAACATTATTTTAATAGTTTGTTGTAGTTTGTAAGTAGTTTTTTGGATATTTCTAACAATTTTTACAATACTTTTTTTTGGAACTGTATAATACATATATACCTAATTTAATATTTATTTAACGTACCTTGACTTTAGGCCTTCACGTCGACTCGACCTTTCATGTGAATTGCGTTTATAATTCCTTGGTGGTTCGGAAAGACTTCGATTTGTTTTGCACTCTTCTTGTCTACGAACTTTTGTTCGTCGAGTGCTAGGTTTCACGTTATCTCTCACTTCGTCATCTTCTTTTTCAATGATCGGTTTTAACCCACCTTTAACTACAGCGATTTCATTGGGATTGTCTTCATATTTTGAACGCAGTCTGGGAGTGGGTACTGGAGCATGGTTAATATTCAACGGAATGTTTTGATATTCATGTCCATCATCGGATTCAGGCTCACTGTTACAAACACTGCTACTCACACTGTTTGAAACTTGCTGTATCAATTTTACAGAATGAAAAATGTTCTCCACAATATTATCACTGACGAATTTGGACTCGCTATTGAATATTGGTTTGATTCTATTTTCTTGTACCTTCCGATCATTATCAATACCGAAATATGTTAAATCACTTTCACGTAATTGTCTCGTTTTAGGTTTTACTTGAGTGGGAGACCCTTTTAAGTCAATAAGTTTATTTTTAATATCCTTGGTTGTGTCATCTCTTGCTTTTTCTATTTTTATGTTTGTGACTATGTGTTTTTCACGTTTTAAGCTATCATTCCTTGTCGGACCTGTAAAATATACATAAGCGATTATGAATACATAAATTAGTTCTAGATTAATTCATTTCATAATACCTATAGCAAGCAATTGTTATTTTATGCACAAAGTTACTGCTTACCTGTATCAGTTGTCCGAAAAATATTATTAATAACGTTTCTTTCTGCTTCCTTACAGAATACTGATTTAATTTCGCCTTTATACTGTTTTTCTGATTCCATTTGTTGATTTACCAAAGAAACTGCCGAAAGCATAGCTTTGCTAGTGTTTTTGTTGGCAACTTCACTGGATATCCCAAAGTCCATGTTCTCTCCTAAAAGATATGGTTTGGGTTTCGGAATTTTATTTTTGAGAATACTCTTTGTAGCTGCTGTATTCTCATCGGATTCACTATAATCACTATTACTCTGATTTAAAGAAGTTGACACTCCATTCGGTATGACATTGGGTTTTTCGCCGAACAATGTAATCGGTCTATCCATCATATCCTGCAAGGGAACAAAAGCACTTCTCCTTTTCCTAAAATCACTTGAAGGTGGTGGTTTATTATCTGTTGCGATTATGTTAACTTTACCAGACTCTGCTGCAAAATGTACTTCTGTTTTGCAAAATTCTACTTTTTTAACTCTTTTATCGATATCTTCACTCGTTTGAAATTTTCTGGAATTGCTGTCATGATCCCCTTCAATAGTGATTGGTAAGGTTATTGATAATTTACCAGAAGATTGTAGCGCTATATTGTTTTCCTTTGGATCCTCAATAACAATATCATGGTCTCGATATGTTTTAAATTTTGTTCCTTTATATTGTGAATTCTGTCTATTCTTTGTAAGCCAGTCTCTAAACGATTCTTCTTTATCTTCAGTTTTTCGTTCATCGTTGTCAAAATGTTTTATGTGCGAATTGTCATCATTTACGATTTCTGTAGATTTACAAATACCACTGTCAGTAGATGATTCCATGGCTAGTGTAGCATTATTGTGTAAAATAGTTTCATTTATAGGGGATGTATCTTCAAAGCTGTAACTTTTCCTTCTCATATTCCATTCATTGCTATTGTTTAAAAGCGATTTATATTTAAGAGTACTTAACGTTGTCGGGGCATCTAGAAGTTGCGAGTTTCTACTGTTACTTCGACTGCGAAATTGTATTTCACTGCTTTCAGAATCATAAGAGTATTTCCTGTGTAGATTTCTGTTCCTTGAATCAAGATCGATGATACTGGCATTGTCTGTTGATGACGATTCTTCACTTGGCATTCGAATCGAACTTCCTCTAGTCGATCCTCTCCACTTCGATGGTTCTGAGATTTCTAAATCATCTGGTTCAGTTACTTTGTAGTTTTCCGTCTCCCCGTTAGAATCAGGTGTTATTTCTAACGGAGTTGATGAAATCTCTAGGGGCTTTGTGGGAAGTGACGGAGACTCTAAAAAGTTGAAGCCGGAAGATATTACCTGTAAAAGTAATATAATATGTTAATTTGTAATTTACTAGTATTTCATTGATGATGTCGCAGTCCCCGACGAACAAAATCGTAATAGGAAAATAACAATTTTACAGGAGCAAATAAAAACTGAATATCTTGAATACTATCAAGACTAAAAAGAAGATTCTTTTATCAAAAATAATGAAATATTTTTTTGCACTAGATTTTTACTAAATTTTTATCATAAATTTTCTTTATCAGTAAGAAAATTGTGAAAATGTCCATTACTGAAATAAGCTATGGAAAAAATTAACGCAAACTAACTTTACGATAGTGTTCGACTGTAATCACAAATCGGTGTTGCTGTAGTAATCGTTCATTATGAAATTGTTCCATGGTAAATATGAATATACTTTATATTCGTAAAATGACATTGCAATCGTATTCGATGATATAACTGACTTTAATATTACGGTAAACATAAATTACATGCTTATTCGATGATCATTTTTAGGTGTTATAACCATTTCGGTACCTATGTATAAATTCTGATTCTGATTCTGTCATTTTTCCCTCGAACAATATGGTAATAGCCGCTTACTCTAAAATGTTGACTTTTGAGATTTGGTAATAGGTTTTTGCGTTATTGATCGTGTAAATTTTTCACTTATGTTATACGTTGAACAAAAACATAAAGATCATTATTGAATGGATAAATCCAAAAGTATTCATCGCCCGATCATAAAAAAAATTCAATGATTGTAATAGGGTGTGTAGATAACGAATATCTAATAAACCCGATTCTATCGTAATAGCGATTACCATAGTGTTCGTCGGGGACTGCGATGTATGACTAAGGTTTTTTTTTAATAAGTTTCCAATAAATACTGAGGAATAATACTGATGACTGAAGCTTTAAGTAGATAATTTGACATGTACTGAACGAATCAAAATAAACTTTTTTATCAATAACCGACCACTGTTTGTTGTAGAACTAGATTTTGTCCGCGGCTCCGCCCGCGTGTTCTCGGATATCGCAGTACAAAGTAGCCTATGTTACTCGCTGATAATGTAGCTTTCCATTGGTGAAATAATTTTTTTAAATCGGTTTAGTGGCTTAGCCGTTAAAGTGTAACAAACAAATTCCTTTTTCACATTTATAATATAAATATGAATTACGTTATGTGAATAAGAGTCATTCGTTTCTTGTCAAATTATTGTACACCAGAAATATTGTACTTTTACAATATAAATGCAGAGATATTATAAAGTATATTTACCCTTCGTGAAGAGTGAAGCATGAAGGACTCGGCTGGAGCTCCAGGACCTGCCGAGGAGTGGTAGGCAGCACGCATGACGCGTACGCGTGCTCCTGGTCCGCTAGCGTGCAATACTTCCATGGCACGCGCAACCCGACGTGTTACACCGCCCTCTGTTACCTGTAATTTAAGAAATAAATCGTATGAGAACGCTATTACATTATATATAAATTCTTAAGTATGTACATCTTCAAGGCGAAAACAATATACAACTATTTTTTTTAAGAAAAAAAGCAAATTGTGTCAACTTCAAAACTTAGGTATACAAACATAACAGATTAAAATAGTGTAAAATTTTAGTAAAACTATTAGCTTTAGACATTGGTTACGTCAGTTACCTACCTTGACTATATATGAGCGTAACACTATCGTTAAGTTGTAATACTTTATACTAGTCTTGCAACGAATATTCGGTTACTATTCGGTATTCGGCCTATTCGGCTGCTTTTATTATATTCGGCCGAATACCGAATATCTACATATTATTCGGCCGAATACCGAATACTTAAATAATATATTTTGTCATTGAGAAATAATTGGTAAAATGAAAAATTAAAATCGATTGATTACGTATATATTCATATTTTCATTTCTGTTATAATCATTTAAGTAGTCATTGGTGCATAACACAGGTACATAATCATCTTCTGAATTGGAAAAATGGAGGATTCTATGTATTTGAATTATTGTGGTAATCAAAATTTAGAAGGGTAAGGTTCTCATTTCTTTTATAATAATTTATTAAGTAGTCATTGGTACATAAAACAGGTACATTATTTAATTCACGTCTGTACAAGTTTTTGGCGCTAAAATCCAGCCGAATACTTTTGCCTAATATTCGGCTATTCGGTCAGGGGTCTCGCCGAATATTCGGTATTCGGTATACTGCCGAATATACTATTCGTTGCAAGTCTACTTTATACCTAACTTACCTATTTCTAGAACTGGCTTAGGCTACCGATTTCTGAAGTTTTTTTACACCTAAGTATCATCACCTGTATCAGTTAAATATTTTATTTACTTTAATATCCGTAATCATTGATAGTTTACATAATATGAATAAAATAAGTGCACCATTCGGGCATGTCGTTATCGCGGCGGTAAGATCGTTGGGAGGATTTGCTCGAGAGGCATCATGGAACCCTCTCATACCGGCTGACGCAGGTGATCACCGGGAAAGGATGCTTCGGAGATTACCTGTGTCGGATCCGCAAGGAACCAACGCCCGAGTGTCACCATGCGGTGGCCGGACCGTGGGCTCGGCGCTACACACGCTGGCAGAATGCCCGGCCCGAAGCGTGAACTCGTGGCGGCCATCGGAGTGGGAATTCTCTTGCTTGATAACATGATTGCCGCCATTGTATAGAGCGAGAGTGCGTGGAACTCCGGCGTCTCCTTCTGCGAGCAAGTTATGCTTGCGAAGGAGATGGCGGAGTGGAACCGGGAGAGGTTTAGAACTCTTCCAGCCCGCTAGACGCGGGAACGTGCCAGGTACCAGGACCTCCGTCCTCTATATACGCAGGCCTGGGGGTGACAGATGAGGCTATTTGTCACCCTATCACAAACAGGCCGGGGTGGCGGCGAGACGCGCTGCGGAGCGCACGCGCCCTTTCGGGAGCACAAAGAGCCACATCTACACGCCGTAGAATGCCCGAGGTACGGCGGGCTACCAGGGATTTTCTTTCTAGGGTACACCAGCGTGCGGTTTTTTGTCAGTTCGAGTCCGACATAACCACCCCACCGGTGGTACCCGAGGGGATTTTCGCACAGAAAAAAAAGGGCCATAATGCGTCGCAATAACTACCGGAATAGTAATAGGTAATTTAAATATGTAAATCAATATACGGTATGTATTTGCCTAGTAAGTAGTCACAAATATTTATAAAAGAAAGAAAAGGAAAAAGTGTAGTATTTGATATTTTAAAAGAGAAGATTAGTTGAGATGGTAAGAATGTAGTGAAATTTGACCTAGGAAATTGATTGCAAATGAACAAAATGATTTTAAAACATTTTAAGTAGCTCTAGAGTATCTTTGATGTATTATTCTATCATTTTAAGAGCTCTGTAAATAATATAGGGTATACGAATCTAGGGCTCTGTTTCATTTTAATGTTAGTCTCAAGTCGACTGACTTTGTGTGAATTAGTTTTATTTTTAAGTGCAGACCAACGGTTAGTTTTACCACAACAATTAGTTTTATTTATTTTTATACAACCAATTGGTTTTATTTTTAAGTGCAGACCAACGGTTGATCTTGAGAAGTTTTAAACATGCTAGGTAATAGGCACGAGACCTTACGCGATGCAAGATTTGTAATTAGTGTCGACTCCGTCGTCCTCCGTAGTTCGAGGCGTCTTCGTTACATGGTATTAGAGTATGTTTTTCGTGGTATGGGCAAGTCACAATACCACAGAAGGAGAAATAAGTGCGATGTAGGCTGGGTATGCGCGCTAATATAAAAAAAACACGTGCTAACATTTTCGTAGTCGCATATAAACTTTATAGTATATAAATTAGCCGGGTTAAAAACAATCATTAACGTATCAGTAACGCGAAAATTACGGATCATATAAACAATCAGGGTTGAATTTTGAAAAGACAATTTCTTCGACAAATCTAAAAACTTTTGATTTTTTAAGAAATTGACAAATAGGTAGTCAAAATGCAAACTGCCAAATCACTGCCACCTATCTAAAATTTCTTTGTATTACAAAGCACGTATGAAATGTTCAAGAAATCAGACAGTTAAAACGTTTATGTTAAAGTCAGTTAGTTGTTCAACAGTTATATAACCTGTATTTATTTTATTTATAAGGCGTCACGATTACGAGGACAGCATGTTTGCGAACGAACCAAAGGTGACACGTGATAAATTAATTAATTGATAAACTTTGACGCTTTTTTGTAGGACAGAAACGGAGTTTGTTAAACTACTTATTCGTCCGTTTTAATAATTATTTGTATTGTGACTTATCTCAAGTTTAACCAGTCTAACGACTTTGTGTAACAACCGGCTACAATATGGAAATGAACTTCAAATTTACTTGTGAGTAAACCTCGTAACTACCTACTGTTCAACTGTTGTCTTTCAAACTTTCAAAGTTGGTTGTACTTATATGAAATATTCATGACCAGGCATGTGATGACCTCAACTGTTTTTATAACTGTGCGCCAAGTGGATGTAACAGCATTTCATAGTTACGGTATGTTCAGTACAGTGTACAGTGTACATAGAAACAAGTATTAAACTGCAGCGTGTTTAATTCCTTGCTTAGTCTATGTTACTCATGTAGTCCGACAACTTTCCTGTCCTGTAGAAATCTAACTGTGGTAACGCGCCTTAAACGGTCTTATAGTACGGACCACAGAAAGGAAGTTATCAATTAAAGTAAATTTAAACGATGATAAGTATTTCTCACGTGAAAGTTGCCGTTCCTAAAACCTACGTTTAAACTTTACATAGATATACAAGTTACTAGCCTTTAGAATTACTGCTTCCGTATTATGGATTAACGTTCTTTTTTGTCGAAACTCTATGCTTAGAGCTATATACAGCACCAAAATGTGGTACGATTATTTCAATATTTGGAGGTACTTTGAGCAATAGGTGTCTCACTATCAAGTACCTACCTATTATGTAAGAACCTCAGTTCTCTTTGTCGTTCATTATATTGGAAAGCATCTGAGACAACAGACTACAAATTACAAAACACTTCGATTGCAACAACCGCAGTAGGTACACGTTCAGCGACTTTGTCTGTACTAGTCTGTAGAAAGTATTCTAGTAAGTTTTGATTTATGGAACCCTACATCCGTTGAAGACATAATTATGGAAGGACAGTTTAAACAGTTATAAAGTAGCTATATAATAGTTTCTCAACATTGCCAACGTCTTAGTAACGCCGTCGTCGCAGTAACGTTTTTTTCTGAAGTAATTTCGTTTATACCACAAATTTTTCAATGGTGATGGTGAACTAGTAATGCTCGCCTGATGCTAAGATTGTAGGCCATAACTAACAATTTTTAGGAAAAAAATACTTAATGTTATTTATTGGATCATATTAGGAAATATTTTGTACACCCACTATAAGAAATATTTGTTCACGAAGGTATCCGACACTTTTCTTACAGTAACTTTTGTAGCGTTGAGTTTTTTTTTTAATTAGGTAAGAAAATTCTAGCAAAAGTATTCTAAAAGCTCCATTCTAATCATTTAATAAAACCATAATAAAAAACCTAAAATAGTAGGACATTAAAATTAAAATTTGATTACAATTTTAGTGGTCATTTACTATTTTGAGTTTAACTATAATTAGTTTCAGTCATTTACTTTAAATAGGAGAGCATTTACTCGTATACATTTTTAATTTAGGATAAGTTTTAACCAAAACGTTTACATTAAAATGAAGCTTACTTTTGATGATAAATTACTATTTTTTATATTACTATTGACGTGATATTTTACTTTTTACTAGGTATATCTGGTGGTAAGTTAAACATAAGCCTTAACATTCCGTTGTGACGTGTCCGTTTAAGATAGTTATTTTGTTTTTTTTTTAAGGCTTATGAATATATCCTGTGTCGCGGGGGACTTAACAAACATACATGAAACGAACAAAAAGAACACTCAGACTCAGAACAACAATTTGTGGATCACAACAAAGTGTCGTCCCGTGTGGGGTTTGAACCTACAACATTCGGCATAGTAGGAAGCGGCGTGGCGACCGCTTAAACCACTACGCCATCACACTATGCAGTCAAAGAGTTGGTAAAGAACAAAAACAAATACTTAACTCTTAAGTTTGTAATAAATACTTATACCCATATTTGTCGTGGCCTTCATAGGTATATTAATAAGTATGTATAGGTACATTTCTTGCTAGTGACGTGATCGTAGTTGCGGGGGCGAAATGAAATTGTGGCGTATCGTGATTGCGATCTTTTCAATTCACTTTTGAATACTCAAGTGGGTGTCAGACATTAAAATCTTTGCATTGTATCCATAACGGCCTAGTAAACATATATATTTTAACGTCAAAGTTAGTTTTAGTGTTATGATCATATCACAAAAATTGTCTGAAACATGTGATTACCCTTGACTCTGATTTAAAGCACAAAAG